GATATTTTTTTTCTTTTCTTTTAATTATTAAAATTTGAAAACAATTTTAAATCACATACCAAACAAGTTTTTGAATCTTAAAAAAAAATTGTTTTTAAAATATGTTCTTAAGAAATGTTTTGAGAAATTATGAATTTTTTATAATACAATACCAAACAGGCCCTTAGATACCTAAAAGAAAGATTATGAGCAACTAGATAAAGATTTGGATCACAAATTGAAGCTCAGTGGTTGTCACTTTGAAACTATTGCCTTATAATGCTGAATTCACTTACAAACAAGCCAAAATTTTAACTTGTCACCATGGCATTTGACATGATAGCCTGACGATAAGATCCGTACGAAGTCTGGCTCATTATACAAAAGGGGATCCTTCTCGGATCATTTTCTCTTAATCCACCAAATCAGTAGATTCGTACATTTGAAATTTGATCAAACGGCAGAAAATATTATAACTTTTAAAGTGAGCTCTTATTTATAGCCGTTTGATCAAATTTCAACGATGTAGATTCCTTGATCTGATAGATTAGGAAAAAGGGATCCTCTCCTGATCCCTTCCCTCATTGTATACATCTTTTGCCTTTTGAGTTTTAACATTATTATCTCCTCTTGTACTCATGTACTTTCACATTTTCTTTTTGACTTATTTTTATGTGTGATTCATAGAACTTGATTTTAATTTCATTTTACTTTCTGAAATTTAAAAGTTGCGATTTTTGAGTTTCATGAGACAAACTGAGATTAAAATCAAGTTTTAGGGAGCAAAGTGGCTACTTTTGAGTTTCAGGGAGAAAAGTGGCAGCTTTTGTGTTTTAGAGGGCAATGTGAGATCAAAATCAAGTTAATCAAGTTTCAGGAAGCAAAGTGGTGACTTTTGTATTTCAGGGGACAACGTGAAATCAAAATTGAGTTTTAGGAAATATCGCTAAAAATATGCCTTTTTATTTTCCCACCTGATATACATAAGTGTTTGTACAATAAAGTTCAATTCTCCAACAAATAAATTTGTAATTATGTTGAGAAGCAACATGACACCATCTTCGTTTGCCATCAACGAGAGAGCAAAGGAGTACATGCAATAAAACACTCCAACAATCAAGTTAGTAGGTGTTCGATATAATTGCATGAGAATTTAAGAATAATTTCATATGCACACCTTCAAACAAGTCTACTTAAGTTCTTCCATTATACTTTCCCATGAAAGAAGTTACAATCAGTTGTCAATACGAGTAATTTAAACCTAATCGATCATCATGAAGATACTACAACAATAAAGCAGTTACCAAATTTATTTACCACACATACATTGCTCATTGAATCTCAAACTCTAATAATTCACGAGTTTTCTACACTCTGAAGCATTATAAAATTTTCGAAAACGATAAACAACATCGTGCTATGCAAGATGAAATGATCTGTCGGAATCACAAAATGAAGGCATAATTAAATATTTAGAAGTAATCGTAGTCGCAAAAAAGATTTGAAAACAACAACCTGGTGCCGTTGAAATGGTGGTGTCGCCGTCACCAATTGGCCTCTGATGGCAACATCAAGCAAGTTGGCTGATTTTGGCGTACAGCTTACTGCTTACCCTCTTCTGAGCTTTCATTCTGCACCGTTGGTTCCTCACCACCAAAGCCTTCAACTTGATATTATTTTTCTTAAATTTTTTGTCCTTGTGAGGACCTAAATCAAATAAATAAATAAAAATAGGAAAACAACAAGTCTTGGAAATAGGAAAAGGGAATACTATGAATAAATTAAGACACCTATGTTTTGTAGTCATATTTTTTTTTTAAAGAAACGAAGATATTATATATTTATTGAGTTATTAACCTACGGAAGTGGACGCACAAGGACCCACTATACTACCATAGTGCCTCACTTGGAAATTCAATTGATAATTGGCCACCTCTCTTGATCAAAATGTTGCACGTCCTTTTTGTGCCTAAAATGACTAAAAACACCCTCTCTTTTTTTTTTTTTTGAGTGAAAGAAATTCATTAAAAATGATCAAAGACGTACATACGACAAACATGTTAAATGTGTCTCATAGAACAACTCAAGAAACTATACATGTCAGAATAACATCACAACCCTACAATTACAAACACATCAAAAATACAATCTGATAATTCAATCATGAACGACCCTTAGTCCTAAACTCTAAACCCTACTCACGAGAACTAAAACATTGCAAACCTGAGAATTAATGTAGAGACTCCACAAGGAAAATATTGCACGAATCTCTGATAATTTTGCAATCCTTAGCGAAGAAGCTCTACTATGAGTGTCAAGTTTTATTCTTAGTCTTTTGCTGAGAGTACAAATTACAAACACCACCACCTCAGATTCGAACAACAATTGCTGCTCTAGAATTTGAGACTGAACAAACTATGACCACAACCATAAAAACTCTCCATAATTACGAACTGAAAGCTCTTCTCGACATATCGAGAGAGTGACTACTACTAGAAACAAAGAGGAGAAAAAAATGAAGAAAACATGAAGGATTGCCGCCACCCCAACACCAAAGGTAGGGGTTGGCAACTAGGGTTTTTTTTCGTTTCTTTCTCTTGTTGTTTACCAAAAACACCCCAAAGTACGTAGTAGGTTCAATGGATGTTAACTCAAATACATCTATGGTTCATGTACGTCCGTCTTGGGATCTTTGACTTCAGAATTATGTAGTTCCAATTTTGGCTAGCGAAATCATGAAATACACTTGATATTTTATAGAAGGACAATTCGTTCAATAAGCACACATAATTGGACGTTTTTACATGCGATAAACACATGGAGGGTCTTGACCCACATTCGATCTCAATATAAGCTAGGTTTTAGTTAAAGTGGATCATTCACAGGCACGTGAACGATCCTGGATCGTTGACAAGAGTGGATGTAAGTGTATGTACTAATCATTTAAGCACATGTTAACCACTCTAAATCCTCAATCACGCAGCGTAACTTTACAATCACGTTATCATTACTTAATATAAGTTACTTTGCCTTTTTAGATTAATTAGGTGACCAGCTTTAGTACCCAAATCTGCTAGAACACTTGCCTTCTTATTTACAATATGTTTTCATGCAAGGCAGAATTTGTCTTTTGAAGAAGTTGCTTAAACAAACAGTTGCATGAAGTGGTCGTCTACGGTAAGTGGAGTGTGAGCAATCATTTTCTTACAATTTTGTATGGAAAAGATGATGTACTAGTTATTTGAGTTTGAGCTTGATTAGGCAAACATATGATTTTTAGAAAATAGTAGAGAGAGAGTAATGTTATAATTTAGGGAACTTTAACGAAAAGCTCTCGGTACTGTTCATTTTAATGATAAACTACATTTTTACACTAAAAAGTCAATCATGATATTATTTACTTGACCCTTTATTTTGTTTTTATCGTTAAAACTCAAAGTTTTCAAACATTTTTCCTTAATTTTCCTTATAATTTAATTGTTGAAATAATAGAGGGTATTTGTGACATTTAAACTGATCATTAAAGTGGTGTTTCATTGTCAAATGATTTGTTAGCCAGTTAAGCTCCATCATGCAATGTAATCACAGAAAAAAGCCAAGGTTGATTTCGTAAGATTAGTGAAAAGCGTTGTACTTCTGTTTTGTTGTACGTACTAATACACGGCTTTCATATCATTGTGAGACAAAATACTAGTTTTAATATGAATTTCAGACTCGTATTCTACACAACACATTCTAGATTTGATTCTTGTTGCTCGTGAATCATACGATAATTGTAAGGCTAAAATACCTCTGTCAATCTTCTCGGCTCTCGAAATAGTGGACTAACATGACAAAGTCACCATCTAGTCATTTTCTATAAAAAAAATTAAAAAAAAAACCCTTGTATAGTCGGTCGAGCCAAACACATAGTTTTTTTTTTCCTAAACAAATGATAATATCTACACTAAAGGGGTGAGAGAGCGGACTAAACCTTACAATGTGCTTGTCATAATAATGTGGTTCAACTTCGTTTTTGGTGAAAGTCGAACCTAAAATCTCTCACTTACAAACGAAGATTACCTTTAAACCATAATACTAAGTGATGCCAAACTAATATGATTAATGCACGAATAACGTACTCTGACACCACATGCTGCTATTGCAAGTGATATTTTTTGTTTGGAACAAAGGTTGTAAAGTATTTGCATGTAAACTTGCGCGGTACATTCACTTCCCGTATTTGGAATCCAAGTGTTACCGAGAATAGAAGAATGAATTATAAAAAGTATACGAGTAAATACTCCTAATTATTTCACTTACAAACTCATTGTGTTTAGACGTTAGAATCTTACTTTTATAATATTACCTAAATAATATGAATACTAATTCCATCCGAATCTAACCACTTTCATGGAAGAATACCAATCAGCTAAATATTAGGAAATAATGGAACCAACCGAGAATTATAATCAACAATTAATTGATATATCTTATTATTAGAGAGATTTTTCAATGTGATCGGAATACCGGGGGTACACAACATGTTACTATACAAATGGTGGGATATATATGTTAAAAAGTTAATAACTTAAAAAATATAATTTTCTACCACTTGTATAAAAATACGTGACGTCCTCTTCGTGTTTCTGTCCCAATAAAAAATTTCTCTTATCATTAGCCTTCTCGTTTCCTTAATCAAATGGCAAGATAACACGTGTCACCCAAGTAACATGAGGAGACGGTCGGATTTCCCGGGTTCAGAAAAAAGCAAAGGTGGTGGTCGGTTGTAACACGTGGCGCGCGGAGAGCAGACGGATCGGATCGGGAACAGTCCGCGTAAGTACCCGCGGGGACCGAAGTTGTTGAGCAGCTTCACACAAATCCCCCTCCAAATTGCCAGCTGGCTCGGACAAGTTGGACCCCACGGAAAGTATACAAAATATCCCAGTAACTAACCGGCCACCGGACCTCCCCGTCTCCCGTACCGTATAAACATACGGTCTGACTACCTATGCACGCTCTGAGATTTTTCCAAGAAGCTCGTGCTTTGTATATATAGGAGACAAAGAGTGACGCGCTCTCTCTCAAGCTACGCCTTGTGAGCGTCGCTGCGAGTGCCTCGCCGGAAAATTCATCGGTTTCTCCCGACCTTGATCCGAAAACTCACCGGAGTCCGCCGGAAAATTGAACAAGTGAGTTCACGGAAATGCTTTTTTTACTACCTAGGGATCTGAATATTTAGGTTTTCGTGTGAGCCCCATTGAGTGGCTTTGGTATGCGTTTTACCGATCCGATTTTCCTGGAAAGTACAATGAGTGGCATGAGAACTTTCGATTTTCCGGGAAAATTGGGAAGCCTTCTCACGTGCTTGGCTGATTTGATTTTTGTTTGGTTTTTACAGGTTAAAGAGTGAGTCGGAAGCAAGAAAGGCAGAGACATTTTGCAGAACCGATTAAAAAATTCCAAGCTTTATAAATACAAAGCTTTTCGCAAATTTATCAAATTTTTATCAATTTTTATTCACATTTTTCTCTGTTCTGAGAAAGCAGAGAGAAATGGTAGTGAAAGTTGCTTCGACCTGCTTGCAATGGTCGCAGTCGATCGTTCCTCACTCGACGCCGTCATCTCAAGCGCTAGCCTCCTCAATCGCTTCTCCTTCCTCAAAACGACGCAACAGAGGCGGCGACGGTGGAGGTCAGTTATGTCTCTACGTCCACAGCTTGAACCGGTCGGCGTTGTTCGGTGCGCCGTTGACGAAGCTGAGCCGGTCCCGGTCCTGCGGCTACCAGAAGCCGAGATTCCGGTCCATTAGACGAGCTTGCAGTGCCAGTCTGGACGCCTTCTCAGACGAAGAGTTCTCGAAGAAGATTCAAGAGCTCGCTCTCAGATTCCAGCTCTCCGACAATTTTGACGGCGAAGATGACTTTAACGTTGACGGAAACGCCTCGGATTCGGAACCGGAGGCGGCGAATTCTGATGACATTCATGGGCGTCAGTGAGTCTGCAATGAGAATGAGATTTGAACAGAACCAGAGCCGGTTCCAGTTGCCGCTCGATCTAGAGCCACCGTGGCCGACCGATTGGCAGCGGAGGGACGAGATTGTCGCGGAGGTTAGCATCGAGCGGAAGGCAAACAGCGTCGACCTTCCGCTTTCGCTCCGAATCATCAAGCGGAAGATGCAGTGGCAGGAGGGTTTCCGAGAAGCTGGGGAATCTGCGTGCTGCTCTGTAAAAAGGGCCTTCTCTTCCATGGTGTTCATAATCCGAGAGCTCCATAGCTACACCTTGCAGATGAGAGAGATTCTCTTCTACGAAGATTTGCAGGGGATTTTAAGCAGAGTGCAGAAGGAGATGCAAGCTTCGTTCGTCTGGCTATTTCAACAGGTCTTCTCTCAGACGCCGACCCTAATGGTGTATGTAATGATCCTCTTGGCGAATTTTACTGTCTACTCATTAGGCCACAACGCCGCCATTGCGGCTGCTCCGCCGCTCGGGTTGTACGCCAGTGCAGCCGAGACTCTTTCAGTGGAAGAAGTTCAGACTCAGAACGATAAATTGGATAACCCCCAATTTGATTCTTCCACAAGTAAGTCGTTTTCAGTGACCGGCAACAGCAAGATGACATCCGTAGGCGGAAACAATGGCGGTGGAGGGAAGGTCCGACCGGTAGGTAGCGGCACAGACGGTGACGGCCGGTTTGACCGGTCAGACCAGTACCGGACAATAGTCCCCGACGGGGCTTCCCAATTGTCCTCATTCGGGACAACCAGAGAAGCAGAGTCGGTTTCGGGGCAAGAGAGCAGGGAGGAGGAGCTGGCTCTGTGGAATTCAGTAGTGGAAGAAGCTCATCAAATGCGGGGCGTACAAGAATCTCTGGATCACGAAACGATGCAGAGATTTGTTTCGCCGGTGACGGCGAATATCGAGGCGGATGGTTACGCCGAGTTCTTCAGAACTGAGCTTCTTTACCGAACGGAACTGTCCGTGGAGCCTAGCAACGCTCTGCTTCTTGCTAATTACGCGCAGTTCCTCTACCTAGTTGCTCATGATTATGACAGGTACTGTTCATCTAGTTTATCATAATTTATGAATTTTAGTGCTTAATTCTAATTTTCATGTTTTAATAGCCACTTAGTACGGGATTCCGCTTCACTTGTAAGCGAGCTCTTAACTTTGATTTTATTTAAAAGCAAATTTGAAATATATTATTGCTAGCTCGATTAAGCACATCTCTTTTTAATGTAGATAATATCGTTTTATAAAAAAAAATTTATATTTTAATTAATTTTAATGTTCATGTCCTTAAATTTGTTGGGTCAGTAATATTATATCACGGTACGAATTAAATTTTGGTGCTGATGACGGCTAAAAGAAGTGTTAAAATTGCTAACGAAACAAAAAAATGGTTAGGTTTATTATGGTGACATTTCAACTTTATTACCGACGATTCTAAGTTCAAATCTAGTGGACGGTACTTTATTCAACGAGAAAAGTCTTGGTCTTGTTTTTTTTTTTTTAATTTGTCGTAGTGTTTAAATGTGGTGATGGCATGATAGTGAAGTGTGTGGTGCTTTTTCCGTTCTTGGCAAAAATCATCGTGAGTTTGGTCAGCTCACGTGCTTCGCATGAAAATCTTTGCTTTGATTTCTTAGGGAAGTTTCTAATTTGTTTGTTTAATGAACAGAGCTGAAGAGTACTTTAAAAAAGCGGTAGGGGTGCAACCGCCGGACGCGGAGGCGTACAACAAATACGCGACGTTTCTGTGGAGGGCTCGGAACGACTTGTGGGCGGCAGAGGAGACGTTCTTGGAAGCCATCTCGGCTGACCCAACCAACTCCTTCTACGCCGCCAACTATGCTCATTTTTTGTGGAATACCGGTGGTGAGGAAACTTGCTTCCCTCTCAACTCCGCTGAGACTGATGACATCGAAGATGCTTAGTAAATATAAAAAAAAAAAAAAAAAAAAAAACAATGAAAGAAAAAAGGGGTACAGAAGAGATAGATTTTCATGTAGTGGGGAAGTTCACTAAGACAATATTCTAAGTCAAATGCATGGCAGTGCGTATTAGCTTGGGATTTGTTACATTAGCATTCCGAATGTAAGTTTCTATCTCCAACGCCAACGGCGGAGCCGGCACCTTCGTTAATTTTCCCAATTTTACTCGGAATATGGTATTAGAAAACCTAAAAAGAAAAAAAGAAAACAGAGAAGCGAGAGGTACTGTATTTTTATATTTATATGTTGATTCCTCAAGTTTTGGTGGGGCGGTGGGAAAATGGGGTGGTGGCGTTTGTGGCGGAGGAGAAGCACGTGACGGGGGACGCAGTCACATGCGCGGCAAAACGGCAGCAAGTTAGCAACAATTGCAGTGTGTTTAGGCTGATGCGTGGGTGTGGTTTGCTTGTGCACAGATTATCATGTCTATTTTGTTAATTATATATTTTTTGGTTGACACAATCACATGGCAAAAGTGTAATTAGCGTCCTTGTTAATATATGCCATGTTAAAGTTTTGAGTAATGTTAAGGAGACTAAATTTTTTAAACTAAATTGCAAATTAAATGATGTGTCACCAATAAGAAACAAGCACGTTAATTGATATTTAATTAATAATCCAATCATCTACAACCATAAAAAGTTGACTTCTGATACTATTTGTAAATTTGATTTAAAAAACTGGAAGTTTTAACAGAACACTCCCGATACTGTTTACTTTTAACGAAAAATACATTTTAACTCTAAAAAGTCACTTCTGGTACTATTCACTTGCAACACATTTTTGTCATTTTGATTAAAACTCAAAATTTTCAAGCACTTTTCATTAATTTTTCTTTTAAAAATTTGATCTTCCTATCATTGCTCTAAAGTTTTACTACAATTTCTTTCAAATTGTTAATACAACTTGTCAACGAAGGCACGTGTTTCTCGTGCATTTTATTTACTAGTATTAGCCATTGGCCTCCTCCTTCGTCTTATGATTATGAATGATTGATTCTGAAAAACCCTCTGGAAATTTGTGCTGTTCACTTAGTGATTGGTGGGGTACGATTACACTGTGAACTTTGCTGATTTGTTTCGATCGGCGGTTGGTTGATAAGAAACATGCGTACCCTTTGTCTAAGAAACAATGATGACACGATACCACAATAAAATGGTTGATGATGCATGGGGGACTGAAAAAAGGGGAGTCCCAATCTTTAAGTGAAAGTGTAAAAACACTCCTAATGCCAAAAATATACGATGTACAACTGCTTCTTACATTATACAACTCACACGAGTAGTGGCGGATGCACAATGAGATTAAGGTGGTCTCATAACACCTGAAGTCTGAGAGATATATATGTAAAGGTCTTTGGAGGACCATCCGAATGTTTGATATGATTCTTTTTTTTGTGCCTACCAAATGTTTAATGAAATGTCAGTTAGGCATATCTCGACATGTTTCGTCAACAGAACTCGACAAATTGTCTAAATATCACCGATCAGATTGCTTCAGTATACGTCGATATCTGTTGACATATGTGCAATATTATTTAGCAAATGACAACAAGCCAACTATGTTTTAGACGAAATCCCTAAGTGAATAATAAACTGAAATTTTTTTTTTGTGCACTTGACACTTTGTTTCTACCTAAAAAACTTATACTTTAACACTAAAACTCCCCAATGTTTGAATCCTAAATCCGCCACGAGTGACTATGTTGTTGAATTTCGTATACGCTTCTAGTTCCATGTTAATATAGTAAATTCTCAAAGGATGAGGGTTCCAGAGGACAACATATAGGCTTGACGAAAGAAGTGTGAACACAAAGCAAAGCAATGAAGAGTCATTTTTTTATGCATAATGCAAATATTGGCCACATAAATAGTAGCATTCTTCTTTTTCTTCCTTTTAATAGGGTTTCAATTATGTGAACTTTGGCAGTTTAGACCCTAGAAGGTGCATAAAGCTCAGCTCAACGCGTAGTGGCATGAAAATTGGAAGTGTTTGCTTTAGAAAGTCAAATATGACTAGACACATACCTATGTTATATAGTATTGATAAAGATAAAGAATAATATTATAGGGGTGGGAGACGAATGGATGCATATAAGAAGAAAATAGGGTGGTTTGGGAATTGGGATTAAGTTAGTCCAACCAGAAAATGACGGTCTATCACGTGAAATCAAAGATGGGGTTTAATTATCCTAACACAACCTCCATGTCTCCATTCATCCTCCCATATGCCTCCCCATGCCTCTCTCTCATACTCTCATTTGTCGGTTACCAATCATATGGGTTGGGTAGTTATTAGTTTTGGGTAAATTTTGCAGATAACGTGGCAATAATGATATACAATAACAACAAAATCTTATTCCATCAAGTGTGGTTGGTTGTATAAATTCTAAAGCGTCATTGTTCTCAATTTTGCTTTAAGTCTTCCATTAGCCCCAAATAGTTCATGTCTTTTCTTAAAGTCTATTTCCAAATTTTCGTATGTCTTTATCTACTCTTTTTGCCCTAAATCTCTGTCTCATAATCGCATTTTCTAACTGGAGCATCTGTAAGTCGTCGTTTCCCATGTCCAAACCACCTTAACCAATTTCTCTCATCTTATCTTCGATTGTGTAGACTCTTATGTTATCTCGGATATCCTCGTTCTTTTTCCTGTCATTTCTTGTGTGGTCACACTTCCCATGAAGCATTCTCATCTTCGTTACACTCATTTTCTGCACGTGTTGATGCTTGACCACCTAACATTCTGTTCCGTAAAGTATTGTTGGCCTTATTGCCCCCCGATAAAATTTTCCCTTGAGCCTTATGGTCGCACAACACACCCAATGTACTTTTCCACTTCATTCATCCAAGCTTGTATTTTATGCTTGAGATCTCCATTCAATTCTCTGGTCTTTTGTAATATAGATTCAAGATAACGAAAGCATTCACTCTTTGGTACTCCATGATCTCCAATCCTTATTCTTATCTCATTTGAACCCCTATTTTCTCTAAACTTGCACTCTATATACTCTGTCATTGACCAAAAAACTTTTAAATTCCAAGACTTCTTACCGGAGGTTAAGCTTCAAAATAACGATATATAAATGTAATTTTGCTAGCATCGATACTACATGCAGGAGTCGGTCTGACTATGAACAGTTTACTGATACGAAACTCTCTTATCAAATTCATATGACTATAAACTGTTAACTGATGCAAAACTCACTTTAACTCTATAACAATCAACAAGTGTCAATCCTTAGGTGTGATAATGACAGTTGATGCTAAGATATCTTATTTTGGATTTCCACCTGTTCCCTCTTATAGTTACTAGTATTTTGTTGTTAACATTATCATTTGCTTTTTCTCTTGTTCTCCAAAGAAATGAGGTTACCATAATACACAAATTTCTTGAAAGAAACTCATTCAAAAACCATGTTTACACGTTGAGCAGAAATTGCGAATGAATCTTAACTGCACATGCAAACAGTTATTAATCATAGAATCGTTAATAATTGGGTATTAACGTTTCACAAATACGTATTATATCTATATATTCACCCAAGTTTTTCTTTTTTGTATAAAGGCACTGCGATAAGTGTTATGTGCTTAAGGATGATTCACTAAACACAATTAATAAAATATATCTTGTGTGGAAGTTTTACTTACGTGTCAACCAAGAACTCTTAGTTACATCGATAATGCAAATTAGTCTTTAAACTCGACGCACGATGGTTGCCTTATGATATATTGTTGATCTTTGGTAATACTATATAGTCATGTACGATAAAGGACGCAGCTCAAGAAATTTTGATTCGTCTAGACATTTTAGTAATGTGATTCAGTAGAGAGACGTGCTCTAAGATAATATATATATATATATATATATATATATATATATATGTATGTATGTATTAATTTGTTATTATTAAGGGGAGGGGTGTAACATCTCACATTGCCCAGGAGGAGTGGATCATGTAAGCTTTATATGTATATTCTTATCTTTACCTAGCACGAGGTCTTTTGGAAGCTTACTGGCTTCGGGTTCTATCAGAACTCCGAAGTTAAGCAAGTTTGCGCGAGAGCAATCCCATGATGGGTTACCCACTGGGAAGTTCTCGTGTGAGTTCTCAGAAACAAAACCGTGAGGACGTGGTCGGGGCCTAAAATGTATAATATCGTGCTTCGATGAAGTCGAATTCAGGATGTGGTGGGGACCCGGGCCGGGATGTGACAAGGGGAGGGTTTGAATATGATTAGAAAAAATTGTCTGAGCATATTCATGCAAACATAGACTCAAGACTTCACAGTAGAGATGTGATAAAAAAACGTTGAGTTATTAGATTGTGGCCGTATTGTGTTGCAATTCCAACTTAATAAGTTTTCTATCATTTTTCTAGCTTGGATAGTAATAACATAATAGGTGTTACTCGTACTCGTGTATTAATAAATTTGAGGTAGAGCTATCCACAAGCTCATTTTTTTCTCTCTCAATTTTCGATCGTCGGATCGAATGAATAGAAAAAGATTCTTGGCTAAAATTAACAAGGGTGTGTGAGAAGTAAAAATAGATGTGTGATTAGCACTTTCTATATTTAAGTTTGGGAAAACCAATAAGTTAATTAGTTTGGATTAAATAAATCTTAAAATCAATTAAGAATGTTAATTGAGAATAATTATATTAATTAATAATACAGTACAAATATGCCAAACGGGTTTTAAAGATAGTTTAAGAATTTCTAAACCCATTGAGCTTTTGACCTATGCATGACAAATTAGGAAAGAAGAAAAAAAGGGCCATGAATAGGCATGATGCCATGGTAGGTAGGGAAAGTCAAAAGCTCAAATTTTGGGTGGTTTACTTTTAGTTAATACAATTTTATAGAATATAAATTCAGGAAATGATTTTCACAATTTTTTTGTCTTTTATATATATTTTTTATTTGTAATCATTGGATTGGATAAATTAAACACAATCAACAAACAAGTTAAACATAGACGTGTGGGGGGGCCAGAAGGATATGTACATGTTTATTATTTCCCAAACCTAGAACTCATCTTTGACAACCCTAGAGGCTAGCCACCTAGAGGATATCTTGCCAACACAAAATCCTCGTCTCTATCTCTTTCGGGAAGATTGGTTTGAAGACTTTGGAGGTCTTGTATTTGTGAGACTTTTGGAGAGCAAATAAGACTTTGGAGAGAAGGCTTTTTCAACAAAGATACATGAGAATATTTTACCTAAAGATACATGAGAATTCTTTAAGAACTTAAACTCATGCTAACTAAAGTTTAATTACTTCCATCACCATGTTTGATTTTGTAGCATGTTATTGTGTAAAAGGACTAGAGAAAATTAGTCTCTTCAAATAGATGCAGACAACAAACGTCCCCAACCTTATGGGTACATTTAAGGCGAAATGTGCAGTCGTACAGAGCTCCAAATTTGAAGGGGCTCCCAAAATTTTTGTCATTTAATATTTATATGTAATAATGTTCTTTATTTAAAAATTGCTTTTGTTATGTAATAATGTTCTATATTT